CCTGCCACCACGCCTGGCTAATTTTTTGTATTTTTAGTAGAGACGGGGTTTCACCGTGTTAGCCAGGATGGTCTTGATCTCCTGACCTCGTGATCCGCCCACCTCAGCCTCCCAAAGTGCTGCGATTACATGCGTGAGCCACCGCGCCGCCGGGCGTACTTCTTCTTCTTCTTCTTTTTTTTTTTTTTTGACAGGGTCTCACTCTTTTGCCCGGGCTGGAATGCAGTGGTGCAATCATGGCTCACTGCTGCCTCACCCTCCCGGGCTCAAACAATCCTCCCACCTCAGCCTCCAGAGTAGCTGGGACTACAGGCATGTGCCACCACGCCGCCAGGCTAATGTTTAATTTTTTGTAGTGACAGGGTCTTGCTGTGTTGCTTAGGCTGTTCTCAAACTCCTGGGCTCAAGTGATCCTCCTGCCTGGGCCTCCCAAAGTGCTGTAATTACAGACATAAGCCACCTTACCCGGCCAGAAGTACTTTCTTGAAGCCTAACTTCCATTCTTCATAACATCCAAGTTTTGTTCTTTTTAAGGCCTTTCTGGGTCTTTCCAGCCTTTTGGTTCTTTGAGATACCTTTTCTGGACCTACCCTACCAACCTGAGAATAACTGTGGATTTACCCTTCACCAAACCAGACAGGTTTAGAATCATGAGTAGAGAATGAACCATCATGGGCAGGGGTGGGGAACACTTTTATTTTAAGGCATATTCATATCGGCATATAAGGCACATTCATATCAGAATGGCACGATCTTGGCTCACTGCAACCTCCACCTCCCTGGTTCAAGCAATTCTCCTGCCTCAGCCTCCTAAGTAGCTGGGATTACAGGCATGTGCCACCATGCCCAGTTAATTTTGTATTTTTAGTAGAGATGGGGTTTCACCATGTTGGTCAGGTTGGTCTTGAACTCCTGACCTCAGGTGATCCGCCCACCTTGGCCTCCCAAAGTGCTGGGATTACAGGCGTGAGCCACCACGCCCGGCCTTTTAAGGCATATTCTAAATATAGCACCCCAACCTCCAAAATTAAAAAAAAAAAAAAAATCTCTAAAAAATAAAGTGATTTCATCTCTTAGGCCCCAACCAATCATCTAAGTAAAGCTCTTTCTTTGGTCCCTTTATCCTCAAAGTCATCTCTTGTTCCCACAACCCACTGCACCTGGGAAGCTGGACAGGAGGCCCAGCTGAAACAAGGAGGT